AGCTAAATATCTCAAATGAACAAGATTTCAAAGCACATTTGGTACCACATTCTCATCGAAAAATCCAACTTCTATGTCTACTACCCCTAGTAGTTTTAAGTGTGTAAGTAGACGTTCCATATATTCATTACTACGATTGTAACCAAGAGTAGAATGTAAGGAATATGATTTGTGAAAGCACTTATCTTCTAACATGATTTTTTTATAGAAAGATCCTGATCTATGACTTATCCAACGACAAGATTTTTTAACTCCAATGACATTCATGAAATTTTCATGTCCGGCTTCTCTCAAGCACAAGTCTAACAAAAGATCATGTATCCTTATTCTCTTCATTTCCCCATTGTAGCTATGTTGGCTAACTATAACAAGACTTCTATCAACAAGATCTTACAAGCATTCCATAGCCACTTTCTTCATATTCACATGCTTCACAGTGCTCAAAAATACCTCTGCCGCCCACAACCTAACCAACTTCTTCACTGGGATCTCATCGTCTTCCTAAAAAATTCCAAAATATAAAAAACAGGCTTTTAAGCAATGGGGTAATTGGTTGTAACTCAAATATAGTATTCTTGAACACGCATCATTAGTAGAATCACCCATTACACTTTTTGCAACATTCTTCCACTTTTCCTCATCCTCCTTTGTCTTGGAGAGAAGACTAGCTACTACAATAATAGCTAGAGGTAATCCTTTACATTTCTTCACTATGTCTCTACCAATTTGCTCAAACTCCCAAAGAAATTCTATTTTACCAAACACTTTGCAATAGAGACTCCAACTTTCATCGGCATCTAAGAAAGGCATGTTAATGATAGAGTTACCTGAGCAAGCATATTTAGCCACTTCTTTGAGTTGAGAAGTCAATAGTATACAACATTCATATAATCATTATCATCATCATCTGGAAAACATCTTTGAACACTATCCCAAGCAGTAGTGTTCCATATATCGTCAATCACTATCAAATATCGCTTACCTTTCAAAGATCTATACAACCTTTCTGCTAATAATGATATTGGCCAGTGCTCTATTCATGGAGTTGATCTCTTGATGCTGCAATAACACTACCAATAAGGCATCGGAGTATTTGTTCCACGTTATACTCTTGGGGTACAGTAACCCATGCTCACTTGTTGAAATGAGAAGTAACTAATGAATCTTCATAAAGTTTGTGTGCTAAAGTGGTCTTGCCTATTCCTCCCATGCCAACAGTTAAAAAAACTTAAAACTTCAAAAAAAAAAAAAAAAATTGCAATAGTGAGACCCTAGCAAGTATAATCTGTTTTAATTATCCCATCAATCATTTCTGCATTGCTAGGCTTCTTCCTCATCGGCTCTTTACTCAATCTAACAAATTCACCATCAAAACCGACCACCAAAAGTCTCAAGTATCTTCTACAGCAAAAGATTACAACTGCTATTATATTCCACAAAAAGGAGCGAGTGACTAAAAGCTGCTGGGATTGAACACTCTGTCATCCAGTACAAGAAAAGGGCTGACAATAAAGGATTGTCTGGGCTGGGCTGCTGGGATGATGCCATATCTAGAAGGTAGGGGTAAGGGGTAAGAATTTAGAATTTAATTTCTTACAATATATAATTTCTGTCTCTCAGATTCATCCAAATTAAATGCTCTGATGTGGGTGCAACAGAATATTCAGACAACTTCAATTGAGACATTAGATGAAATTCAGGCGCTGATAGAGAAAATTAAAGAGATGATGATTATTCATTGCAATGCAGAGCAAAGCAGCTATATATATATATATATATTGCAACCATCATATATCTACATACAAACTAATTCCCCACCACCAAAATCTCTACAAACAAACAAACAAACAGCATCCATGAACGAATCCACATTTCTGAGGGCCGGTTATATATTAGAGGGCCGAGATAGAAAGAGACCCAAATATAGTAAGCTATAGGGCAGGCTTACCTTCACTTCACTTGACTTAAGAAACAAAACAGATTTCTGAGACTTTAATGTTAGGATCGAAACGGGTTCACAACACCAAATTTACAATAGCAACTTGAACCGGAAATATTGAGAATAAATTCTAGTGTAAGATTTAAAATAAATCATATACAAAGCAAGACAATTTGAAAAAGAATTTTCTGTATTGGCAAAAGGATAATACAATAGGAATTACAAATATAACTCTCTATTTTCTCTCTATAGAATTTGCTATGCTACTGGAAATTTTCGGATGGGATGATCCAAATGAATGAAGGATGTTGCCTATTTATAGCACCAAAAATTCTAGAGAATTTTTAAGCATTTAATATTATATTAAATGCCTAGGAACTTGCAATGCAATAAAAACTTCTCTTGCAAATTTTCTCCAAAACATATGCTCAGAACTAGCCCCTTAGACAAATCTCCTCCCAAGTCCCTTAGGAAACCTCCTCCCAAGTCCCTTAGGAAAACCTCCTCCCAAGTCCCTTAGGAAACCTCCACCCAATTCCTTTGGGAAATCTCCTCCCAAATTCTTTTAGGAAATCTCCTCCCAAAATCATCCCAGGCAAACTTCTGCCCATTCCACATTCTGACTTTAATATTTACAAATCTCCCACTTAAAGTCATAATGTGGATCTTCATCCTTTTTGCCAATTCCCTGCTGCTTGCATTCCTGTTAGGCCAATTGAGGATCTACACCATACGAATTTATCGTTGGTAACAGGCTTTGTTAACATATCTGCCAGGTTATCTTTAGTATGGATTTTCTGTATATCCACACTTCCTTCTTCCACATTTTCACGTACAAAGTGATACTGAACTCGTATGTGCTTCGTCTTAGAATGAAATGCTGGATTCTTTGTCAAGTACAAAGCGCTCTGACTGTCACAAAATAGAGTCATTTTCTCTAATTTGTGCCCGAGCTCCTCTGTTGGTCCCGATAGAGTGTAATGAGAGTCTAGAGGGGGGGGGGGGGGGTGAATAGACTCTTTTCGTGTTTAGCCCTAAAAACCACCTTTCGGTGTTCTGGCGCAGCGGAAATGTTAAATACGATTATTTGCTTTGCACGAGTTTACGTTGTGAGGAAAACTTTCGGTAATGATGATGAGGATAATATGATGCAGAAATGAAATGCTAAAGTAAAGAGGCAAGAGAGACAAGATATTTTATAGTGGTTCGGCTAACGTTGCCTACTCCACTCTTCTTCCACAACTTGTGGAAGGATTGCACTATCACTCGTTAGTACAATTACACAAAGACTTCCTTGATCACTAAGCCGGACAGCCTTCGTAGGTTTTTCAACTCCTCCAGTTTACTCCGCCTCTATCAACTTCTTTTTCAGAGTTGAGGTTGGTAGAAAATGATTTCTGATTTCTCCAACTTGATGAAGTCTTGACTGTGTGAGATGATTGCTTCGTACAAATGGCAAGACTTCTTTAAGGTGCAAGATGACGATCAGTGAACTTCTTCAAATATCCTAGCACCTTAACACTGGTTCACAAAAGCTTGAGAAAGTTGAGAGCGTTTAAGAGCTTTTGCATATATAGATCGAGTGAATAAAAACCAGCACATTCTTAGTTGATGAAGGTGGGTTTATATAGGTGATGAAAATTCATCCGTTGGAGGGAGATGAAATTTTCGAACCTTTTATCCAGTGGTCAAGGACCGGGGAGCTTCATGCATTAAATGCTACATTAAAGTGGTTGTACCATGTAGCCGTTGAAGGTATGGAAAGCATTAGGGTTTTGTCTTTTAGCTCCAGGAGATGGTACATCTTCATTTAATGCTCCTTGGTAAGCATGTCCCACGTGTTGAGGTCCTTGACATCCTAGGATGTTGTCAAATCAGACAGAGAGAACATTCTTCTTGTTGGAAGATAAGAATACTTTGGAGAGAATTGTCTTTAATAAATCTGTCCTCTCGAGGTAGTTGACAACTTCTTATTAGCTTTCATTGTTGTTGTTTCGTCTTGGAGACCCTATCAACTAAACATAACTCATTTTCGTGTGTTTGTCTAGCTTAACACGAATTACAGGAGAGTTATGGCAACTCTCGTCTAGGACGAAAGCAGCGATTGAAAAAGCAAATAGATAGGGGTCTACTTTCTACATTACATTGGTATCATCAAAATCCTAATACAATATTCCTAACATCCTCCAATAACATTTGCAACCATATTGCCTCTTTACTAGCTTGAGTAGCCGCAATATATTCTGCTTCCGTCGTTGAAGTTGCCACAACCAACTGCAACTTCGAGACCCAGCTTACTGCTCCGCCAGCAAGAGTAAACACATAACCCGTGGTGGATTTACTACAATCAAGATTACCTGCATAATCTGAGTCAACATAGCCTTTAATGACGAAGTCTGATCCTCCATAACACAATGCAATATCTGAGGTACCATTGATATATCTAAGGATCCTCTTCACAGCACTCAAATGCTCTCTACCAGGATTTTCCATGTATCGACTGACCGCTCCCACTGCCAGTGCAATGTCTGGTCTAGTGCAGATCATAGCAAACATTAAACTGCCCACTGCTGATGCATACGGTACTCGAGACATCTCCATCCTCTCTTCTTCGTTGCTAGGACTCATACTTGAGGATAACTTGAAATTAATAGAAAGAGGGGTAGAAATTGGCTTACAATCTTGCATGTTGAAGCGCCGCAAGATTTTCTTCAGATAATTCTGCTGAGAAAAACCAAATCTTCCTATTATTTCTGTCTCGGTGAATTTGCATCCCTAGAATCTTGTTTGCTGGTCCCAAGTCCTTCATTTCAAATTCCCTAGCCAGTTGAGCCTTCATCTCCATAATACGATCATTGTTGGGGCCTACTACCAACATGTCGTCAACATACAACAGCAAGATGATAAACTGATTATCATCAAATCTCTTGCAATATGCGCAAGGATCAGAATTAAACCTGTTGTATCCAAGGCTCAGAATGAATGAATCAAATCTCTTATACCAACATCTCGGCGCCTGTTTGAGACCGTATAGAGATTTGGTCAACCTGCAACAAAGTTCCCTTTTCCTCTTCTTCAAAACCTTCTGGTTGGAGCATAAAAATCTCTTCTTCAAGTTCTCCATGTAGAAACACAGTTTTCACATCCAACTGCTCAAGATACAAGTCAAACATAGCACACATCGCTAGGACTGCTCGAATTGTTGTAAGTCGTACAACATGAGAAAATATCTCGTTGAAGTCGACTCCTTCTTTCTGAGCAAATCCTTTCACAACTAATCAAGCACGATACCGTTCCACTTGGTTGTTGCTATCTCGTTTGATCTTATAGACCCATTTGTTTCCAATAGCCTTCCTTCCTCGTGGTAACGGGACAAGTTCCCATGTTTTATTCTTATGGAGAGCTTCGATTTCTTCTTGCATTGATGTCATACACAGAGATGCATCTAGACCTTTAATAGCCTCATGGTAAGTTAAAGGCTCACCATCTTCTGTTAGTAGACAGTATGCAACATTTCCCTCCATAGAATAATCTGAGTGCCAAGCTGGTTGCTTCCTCTCCTGAGTTGATCGTCGAACTTCTGAAGTTGAAGACTCAGCTTGCTCTTGTTCATCATGCTCTATTGTTACTTCAGGGAAAACTGGAATTTCTTCTTCCTTCCTTCCGTCAACTTGTACTGTAGCTGTCACTGGTTTCTCCTTCCCAGTGCTTTCACTTTCTTGTACCTTCCCTTTTACAAATAGAACATCCCTGCTGATGATAACCTTGTGGGCAGTGGGATCCCACAGGCGATACCCCTTCACTCCATCAGCATACCCCAAGAAAACACATTTTCTTGATTTTGGATCAAGCTTTGATGTTTCTTGGGCGTTGTATATCACATATGCCGGACTCCCAAATGTATGTAAGTGAGAATAACTAGATGGCTTACTCGTCCACATTTCTATTGGCGTTTTCAGATCAATTGCGGTTGATGGTGACCGATTGATCACATAACAGGCGGTTTTGACTGCTTCAGCCCAAAATGATTTTGCCAAATTTGCAGTCCTCAACCTTGCCCTTGTTCTTTCCAACAAGGTTCTGTTCATCCGCTCTGCCACTCCATTTTGTTGTGGAGTATACGCCAATGTGAGCTATCATTTGATACCTTCTTGCAGACAGAATTTATAACATTCATCACTAGTATATTCTCCTCCATTGTCCGACCTCAAACACTTGATCCGTTTCTCGGATTCAAGTTCCACACGCGCTTTGAAGAATTTGAAAACTTCAAATACATCCGCCTTCCGCTTGATTGGATACACCCAACATCTCCTCGAGTAATCGTCGATGAAGGATACAAAATATTTTGCACCTCACAGGGATATAACTGGTGCTTGCCAAACATCAGAGTGGATCAGCTTCAAGATAGTCTTGCTCCTTGCTTTAGAGCTCTCGAACTTCAATCTATGCTGCTTACTTGTAACACAATGCTCACAAAAGGGTAATGAAACCTTTGTTAGCCCTGGAAGAAGATGTTGCTCAGCAAGAATCTTTAGACCTCGTTCCGACATGTGGCCAAGTTTTTGATGCCACATCATCGTTGATTCCTCTATAAGATTGTCTGCTGCAACGGTTGCTTCTCCTTGTAGTTGTGTTTCTCCTTTAAGCATGTATAGGTTGGTTGCTATCTTCTCAGCTTTCATCACAACAAGCGCGCCCTTGATCACTTTGATGATCCCATCCTGAATGTGAATTTTACATTCACGGCTATCTAATTGTCCTAGAGACAATAGATTTTTCTTCAGGCCCTTCACGTGTCGTACCTCTTGGATAGTGCGAACCGTACCATCAAACATTTTTAGTTTAATAGTACCAATACCATCAATCTCTAAGGCATGGTCATTTCCCATGAACACAGATCCTCCAGATATAGGTTCATATTCATGAAACCATTCTTTCCGTGAGGTCATATGCCATGTTGCTCCTGAGTCCATTAGCCAGACATCAGCTAGACTTTTCCTGCCTTCAACAATCGTTGCTGCTTCACCAAATAAAACTTTGCACTCATCCGATGTACTCACAACACATCCCTGAGCATTTGATATCTCGGGATTTTTGCCGCTGGTCTCATCCTTCTTGAGCTGCCAACACTCACTCTTGTAGTGCCCTTTTAGGCCACAGTGAAAACACTTGACATTCTTCTTACCCCTTGACTTTGATCTACCTCGGTTGTGACTCCCACTAGAGCCAGGCTCCATTGATCTTCCTCTCATCACTGTCAACGCTTGAAATTGTTGTGAAATTCCAACTTTGTCTTCTTTGTTTTTGCGCCGACTTTCCTCTTCAAGAACCGCAGCTGCATGCAATATCATCGAAGACAAGTATCTCCTTGTTGTTGACCAAATTGATAATGAGTTGATCATATGAATCCGGTAGACTTTGGAGTAAGATTTCAGCACGTTCATTCACTTCTATTTTATAACTCAAGGCCGAGAGTTGTGAAAATAGAGTGTTTAGAGTGTTGATGTGCTCAGTTACTGAGGATGTCTCCATCATCCTGAGATTGTATAATTTCCTCTTCGAGAAGATCTTGTTGTGCAGTGATTTGGCCTCATACAAATTTACGAGAGTATCACATACCTCTTTTGTCGTACCTTTTTCCGCCACACTTGACAAAACTTCATCAGCAAGTGCTAAGTGCAGATTGGCAATAGCATTGCTATCCATTTCTGTCCACTCCGCATTGTTAGTGAAATTGGCTGGTCTTTCTTCAATTGCTGTTACGCAGTTATCTTTCCTGGGAACTGCTTTAATTCTCATTTTCCACAAAGAGAAATTGTTCCCTTTGAACTTTTGAATCTCATACTTTGACGGCATTGTAAGTGGTGTTCTTGGTTCAAATCCTGAACAATATATCTAAATAGTATCGTATAATAGAATAATACCGGCCTTGTAATAACAGTATTTATTCTAACATAAACAATACAAAAAGATATATCTATGAACCAACTTGAGGCTCTGATACCACTTGTTAGGATCGAAACGGGTTCAAAACACCAAATTTACAATAGCAACTTGAACCGGAAATATTGAGAATAAATTCTAGTGTAAGATTTAAAATAAATCATACACAAAGCAAGACAATTTGAAAAAGAATTTTATGTATTGGCAAAAGGATAATACAATAGGAATTACAAATATAACTCTCTATTTTCTCTCTACAGAATTTGCTATGCTACTGGAAATTTTCGGATGGGATGATCCAAATGAATAAAGGATGTTGCCTATTTATAGCACCAAAAATTCTAGAGAATTCTTAAGCATTTAATATTATATTAAATGCCTAGGAACTTGCAATGCAAGAAAAACTTCTCCTGCAAATTTTCTCCAAAACATATGCTCAGAACTAGCCCCTTAGACAAACCTCCTCCCAAGTCCCTTAGGAAACCTCCTCCCAAGTTCCTTAGGAAACCTCCTCCCAAGTCCCTTACGAACTTTAAATCTATAAATATAAATTCTTTTCCCATGCAATGGCAGCACAATCCATCACATTTCTAAGACCATTTCAGCTAACCGCTATGCACATTTGTTAGGAATATAGCGGAATAATGCGGAAGCGAAGAATCGAAAATTGAGAATTATAGAAGTTAAATAATAGGAAAATATCTAAATGACAAAATAAGAAATTGATGAATTGGGAAATATAGAAATATATATATTAACCTCAAAAAGAGTAAAGGAAAACATATATATATATATATATATATATATATATATATATATATATATATATATATATATATAGAGAGAGAGAGAGAGAGAGAGAGAGAGAGAGAGAAGGGTTCAGGTGCGCGTATAGCTTCCCGTGCAGTTGTGCGGTTAAATCTGAGCAGTTGATCAAATTTAGATCAACGGCTCAAATCAATGAAAATTAAAAAAAAAAAAAAAAAAAAAAAAAAAAACGCTTGTCTGGAACAAAGAAGTAAAAGCTAAGGCGCACCTTAAGTGTTTGATCTTAAGCATAAACCCACGCACATTAAGTACAAAACCCACACACATTAAGCACAATCTCATGCACATTAAGCACAAAACACACGCACTTTAAATATTAACTCACAGACTTTAAGTTTCAACAACTACTGACATTAAGTACAAAACTCACGCACATTAAGTACAAAACCCACGCACATTAAGCACAACATCACGCACATTAAGCACAAAACCCACGCACTTTAAATATTAACTCACAGACTTTAAGTTTTAACAACTACTCACGATAAGCACAACCCCACGCACATTAAGCACAAAACTCACGCACATTAAGCACAAAACACACGCACATTAAGCACAAAACACACGCACATTAATCACAACTTCGCTCACCTTAATTTTGACCTAGATGCAAAAATTACAAAATTGCCACCGCGTTTTTTTTTAAAACATTGATAATCCTGAACGTTGATTTAAGCGAGATGAAAGGCCCAAATTAAACCGCGCAACCGCACCCTAACCGCACCAGAACCTAAATCTGTATATATATATATATATATATATATATATATATATATATATATATATATATATATATATATATATATGTATGTATGTATGTATGTATTCTACGTGAGGAACAAAGAAAGAAAAATGAATTCAATTGAATGAATGATGCATTGAATTACAAAGCTAAGAGAACTATTTATACTAAAAGAAAGGGAGAAAACTGCGCATGAATGTGGGAGTGCTCCAGTTGCTACGTGGGTACGTGGACTGCATGGTGAGTGGAGAAATACGGAGCAATGGTGCAATACGTGGACAACATGGTGAGTAGTATGAATTTGAACCACATAACTAACAATCTCCACCTTGGATCAAATTCATTGTAGAATTAACAACTGCAACAATCGACTAAACTCAAGCATTGCTTGAACTTAGCAATAGGAAGAGCCTCAGAATAGCAGGATGGACCACCATCAACTTCTTATGCGACTGAAAGAGCATAAGCAACCATGTTGGTTTCATCATCACTAGCATACCTAGCAGGTTTTTTAATTGTCCTCCTAGGACGATCCATAGCAATGGAATACTCTCGTTGTGGCTGGACGAGAGGTGCGGTGCTAGTAGATGCATCACCTTTAGTATTACCATTAGTGGTAGTAACACTATCAATAGGCCTGAACTCAAACTCCACCTTCTCACCAGTACTCAGCGTCTCACTTGTACTGGGAACTTTTTCAGAAGAAAGTAGTGCATTTTCGTCAAAAGTGATATCTCGACTCAGAATGATTTTTCGAGAATCAGGAGACCATAGACGATACCCTTTTGACTCAGAAGCATAACCAACGAAAATGCATTTGACAACTCTCGGGTTTAATTTACCCGTACTGGAATGAGCATAAGCAGGACATCCAAAAACTCTTAAGATAGAATAGTCAACAGGATTACCTGACCAAACTTCCTCCGGAATTTTGAAATCGAGGGATGAATGTGGAGATCTATTTACCAAATAGCAAGCAGTAGAAACGGCCTCGGCCCAAAAATCACGCTGTTTCCATAACCCAGCATTAGAGAGCATACAACGAGCTCTTTCCAATAGAGTCTTGTTCAAACGTTCAGCAACACCATTTTGCTGGGGTTTACCAGGCAAGGTCTTGTGCCTGGCGATTCCATTTGCCGCACAAAAGTCATTGAAATCTGACTCACAGAACTCCAAGCCATTGTCTGTCCTGAGCTTCTTGACTTTTTTACCTGTCTGAGTCTCAACAAGTATTTTCCACTTCTTGAAAATAGAAAATGCCTGATTTTTATGTTTCAGGAAATAGACCCAGACTTTACGAGAAAAGTCATCAATAATAGACATAAAATATCTACAGCCTCCCATAAACTAGAATTTAGTTGATCC